ATATATATATATATATGTCATGTGGCACTCCATTAATTTCTATAATCTTCATGTTTTGTTTCAGTTATATTAAAGTTTATTCAAAGGAAAAACAAATACCCAAAGCAAATTAAAATAGATTGTAAGAGTTTAAGGCATACTTTAGATATAGAATTTTTTTTTTATTTTTATATATGATTAATACTATTTTGTCTTAAGGAAAACATGTGACCTAATGCAAAAGCCATTGTGTCTATATTATTACTAACACTAGAAAAAACATATGATCTACATGTTCCTACATAGAAATAACACATAACAATCCATGCCTCATCAAACATGTACCTGTTTCAGACACCATCTTTCTATATAGTGAATCTATCCATGATAAAGTGCTTTGTATTTGTGTATACACTTCTACATACTAATTAAAACTCTTATATATTACTTTTCCCAGAACTGTCAGAAAAGAGAGTAAGAATAGTTACCACATATCATAAACATGGATTCTATTTATGTTCAACCCATTCTGTCCAATCATTTCTCAAGTCAGAGAAAAAGAATAGTAGTTAAATAAAATTCAGAGCATCCTAATGCAAAACACTATCTATTCTATCAGGCATTTACTCTACTAGTAGTATCAAAATCAATGTTTGGTTGACTGGAATATTGAACTGCATTTAAATTGAGCAGTAAAATAAGTATAGTTCTGCATCCGCTGCTATTAGTGTTAAGTGTAGCCTTTCTATATTCTGATTATAAAGCTTGGAGTTCTCATCACTCCAATCCTGTTTTCATAGGCGAGCTAGACGTCAGGATGTAAAGTATGGGGACCCAATCACCCAGTGCTGGGACATAGAAGAAAGTAAGTATTGGTTTAATATGCTTTTTCTCCCAATTAAAATGATAAGTCCAGGCTTTGTATATCTTTTTAATTACATGACTCCAAACAACTATTATATTAAGATCTCATTTTGTGTAGTGCTTATATTCTGGAAAAGCAACAGGAGATTTTATAAATCAACCTCTGTCTACAAGCCTAAGTGAATAATCTTTTGTTATATCATGATTTGTTTCATATGTCTTTTAAAATTCCTATACTTTAGCTTTTGTTTCTTTTCTTACTCTCTTATCCGTCCTTGTAAAGTTTGAAAACTGCTTTTTAGAGATAAAGCAGGATATAGCCCAAAACAGTTGGACATATAGAGTAAACTCAAAAGAGACCTCTCAGGAAAGTGTGTCAAAGTATAGGCACTTAATTAGAAAGACGTTTTAGGTAGCCTATGCTTTATTTGTACTCAGCTATTAATAAATATATTCATGATTGTTCTGAATATACTAGGAGACAAGGAATGCCTTAAAGGGCTTAGGATTCCTTGGGGAAATAAGATGATCAAGGCTCAATGGGAATTTAGCAAAAAAATAAAAGATATCACCAGAGGCTGAATGGTTCAGAAATACAAAAATCATAGAATGGAAGATCTTGAAAGAATGAGTGGGAAAGAAGCAGGATGGGGAATAGAGAGGAAGTCTGGTGAGTGAGTCTAAAAACAGAGGGACCTCTAAAAGTAGATAACCCATAGTTTTACTCTACCTTCAGGTAAGACACAGAAGCATGAACACCCACAAATGCACACATGCAACCAGTGGAAAAAAACAGCAATTTCCTTTATCACATTGTTACTAATCATCCCACTAGTGATGAAAATAACCCCATTTTCATATTTTATAACATGAACCCAGCAATTTTTTCTTGTTTTAAAAGCAAGGCAGTCATTTTTAACTCAGAATTCTGAAAAATAAGTTCAGGACTAGCACAGTGTGTTTGCCTTCTCATTCTAACAATGTAAGAGACTCACTGTCATGTCCAGTGTTGTGTTTAGTAATCACTACTGTGTGACTTCCATATGCACATCAGGGACTGTGGTAGGTGTGGAGGACATACAAATGAGCAAGAAGGAAGCAATCTATGTATTCATAGAATTTATATTCAGGTGCATTAGGGAAGAAAGCAAACAATAAATATAAACAGACAATAAAAATAAAAACAGGTGAAAATGCTGTGTTATTTGATGATAAATGTTATAAATAAAACAACATAAAGCACACAGTTTTCCCCTGAGGCTCAGAGTTATTGTCTCTACCTTGCCTTATGGCATTCTTGCTCTAACCCATGCTGTTCAGTTTTTTGCATTTATTATCGTCACTTTGCTCAATCCATTCTTGTTAAAGTCACCAGCAATTTCCTTCTTGCCAAATTCAATGGCAAATTTTTACTTCTCATATTTATTTAATCTCTAACTCCCTCTTCCTTGAAACACTTTCTCCCCTTAACTTCCTTGCAGTGGTATGCTGTAGCCTTATGAAACCTGTTGCTTATTACTTTGTTATTTTGTGAGCTGGTTTTAAACCACTGGTAGCTGTAGTCAGCTACAGTGGGGGTATTTACAAGAGAAAAATCAGAAAATACTATCAAGCCTTTCTCTTTTCAGAGAGGAGGTATACTTGCCCACTTATGCTTTTATGGCACTACATCCTTCTGGTTTACCTGTTACCTTGCAGACTGTACCTTCTGTGTACTCTCAACCTTTCTTTTCATTTGCAACAAGTTTTCCAGTGACCCAAACCACTTTTTCAATCTCCATCTGTTCTTTCCCCCAATATCATCACTTCAGTACTATCAGAAGCTATTTGACTCCTAAAATCATAGTCCAGTTTAAGCTCATCCCTGTCTGCCAGTCTGGAATGCTTGCATGCCTACTCAATAAATCCTTCTGAATGCATAGTTAACATCTCCAACATATGTCTAAGAATTCTTACTATCTTCTCCAAAGCTGTATTTCTGTACTTTCCTATATTAATAAATAGCACTTCCATTCCCCCCAGCTGCTTAGGTCAAAAAGCAGCTCAGAATCACATCTTTATTCTTTTCTTTTTTTCATATCCTTCCACCAACTTCTCAATAAGTCCTCTTCCTCATCTTCACTGATACCTCGATTCCTCTTCTGTAGCCCCTTTTCTGGTCTCTTGCTTCCATGCTTGCTCTGCTGCAGTCTATATCTTACTCAGTAACCAGAGTAGTCTTTTCAAAACTTCAGTCAGATCACATCATTACCTTACTAACTAATATTTCATTAGCTTCTTAGAACAAGTAGTACAAATCCACAGTCTTTACCATGGCACGTGAGAAACTGTTTCACCTGGTCCCAACACCTTCTTGACCCTCTCTCATATACTGTTGCATGGTCCCCTCACTGGCTTTCTCTTTTTCGAGAGCACCAATCTGTTTCCTGCCTCAGAGCTGTTTGTATTTGTTGTCCCCTGTATTTCCCCTCAGAAGTTCACATAGCTCCACTTTCATATCATGCAATTTTATGCCTCAATGTTAATCCCTCAGAGACCTTTCCTGATCTTGCCATCAGAAATACTTTTCTTCTTTCTACTTACTATTGCCTAATCTACTTTTTCTTTTTCTTTTCTTTCTTTTTCTTTTTTTCTTGTAGCAGATAATACCACATACTATATACTTTCTTCATTTACTTGGTTATTTTGTCTGTGTCACTAGAATATATGTTTCTTAAGGTCAGTGATTTCGCCTGCCGTGTTTACCCAGGCACTTAAAATAATCCTAGTATGTTGGACACCTAAGACTGTTTGTATAATGGATGGGTAAAGGAAAGCCTACTTAGATGGGTAGCATTTAAAGTATGCTTCAAAGACAAAACTAAATTTTACAAAGTAATAGTAATTAAAACCAGATAAAGCCTGGAATGGTGGTACCTGTCTGTGATCCCAGGATACTGGAGCCTAAGGCAGGAGGATCATAAGTTCAAGGCCAGTCTTGGCTTTTACTGAAACCCTGTCTCAAAATTAAAAATAAAATAAAATTTAAAAAGGGTCTGGGCATGTAGCTCAATGGTAAAGCACAAGTGGATTCAATCCCAGTACTAGAAACATAACAAAACAAAAACAGAAAGACCTCATATAGGTTGGGTTACATTTGTGGCAGTCTCATGTTATTCCATGAAATTTATGTTTACTTTCCAAGTGATGAGCTATTTCATATTTCTCAGAAAAGTTTTTAAATTAAATTAATTATCTCCTTATGGATAATTGATTAGACTTGGAGGAGCTAGAGGCTGAGAGTCAATTTTGGGAGTTAAATAATTTCTCTGAGAATACCTACAACTAAAGGAGTTACAGTCTTAATGTAGAGAAAAGGGCAAATTTAGACACTAACTTGTAGAAAAGAAGAAAGGAGATGATTTGAGTCTAAACCACCATAAATGCTTGTAGTACTTACTAGGTAATCATCTCTCGAATAATTGACAAATAGATGTATTCTTTGTTCCTTCTTTCTTTTCTTTTTTTTAAATTAACTAATTGCTAAATGTTATGATATAATGTGATTACTAATGATATAAAATCAATACATGTAGATTAGCTATGTTTGACAATGGAAACCAGACCGAATCTTGTACCTCAATGCCATATATTTCATATAAAGAAATATTCCAGCCACTTACTGTGAAAAACAATTTTTGACATCAATGTGGAAATTGAAATGCCCCATTCCAAATTATATTACACTTAATAAGGAAGATAGAACATTTTAAAATACTATTCTATATGACTTTTACATGTTTAAAGGTTAGATCATAATAGTATTTTCATATATATATATATATATATATATAATTACATACACACACATATATATGCATTTAAATATACATATACTATTTGAAACTTAAAAACGGGAACTTTAAAAATGAAAAATGAGACAAGCATTATAGGAAGCAGCAATAATTTTTTTTAATTTTTTTTTTTATTATTAGTTCAAAACATTACAAAGCTCTTGACATATCATATTTCATACATTTGAGTCAAGCAGATTATGAACTCCCATTTTTACCCCGTATACATATTGCAGATTCACATTGGTTACACATCCACTTTTTACATACTGCCATACTAGTGTCTGTTATATTCTGCTGCCCTTCCTATCCTCTACTATCCCCCTCCCCTCCCATCTTCTCCCTCTACCCCATCTACTGTCATTCATTTCTCTCTCTTGTTGAAACAAATGCCAAATGTCATCTTTGATATAAGGAGAGCAACTAAGAACAGAATAGGGAGGAAGAACATGAGAAGAAGATCACCATTAAACAGGGAGGAGAGGGGAGGGAGGGAAAGAGAGAGAGAAGGGAAATTGCATGGTAAAGAAAGGAGACCCTCATTGTTATACAAATGAAAAGATAAGAGAAAGTGAGGGGAAAGGGGGGAAAAAAAAGCAATAAATTTATTTTCAGTCAAACAAATGTTTTGGTGACTATGTTATAGGTATGTTTTTTTTCTGATTTGAAAAAAAAGATTTCAGACTATTTGTTTACTATTTCAGTTTTTCAGTATATTTTACTAATTTTTCCTTTACTGAATTGACCAATTCTTTGCTTGAGTCAATCTGAGTTTCTTCTGATTGCTTGCCTCATAACCTGACAGTCAACATGCGGTACTCTCTGCTTTGTTGACAAATTCCCTTTCTCAGGATCTGTTATTATGAAGTGGTCCACGTCTTTCTCTCCCATCATTGGCACTTGTGATCTTCTGTGCATTAGGATTTTATTAACTGTGAAAATTGCAGATATAATCTTCTGAAATGCTGGAGATAGTTGATGAGTTAGAAATTTTAAATAGAATCCAAGCATTGTGAAGGTTAGATAAGGTTAATTCAAAAGTTGTTAATGTGCTTGACTTAATCATTGTACGTAAAATACAAATATATTCAAAAGAAGTTTCTTAAAAACAAGTCATGGGATGGATGTGCATGCATGCCATTGCTGAGAATTTTGTGTGCTTTTCTTTAGGATTACCATTAGTCCCTCAAACCATAGTCCTTGGTTAATGTCTAACTTGCTAAAGTAGGACCATTTGTAGAATGGAGATATTTAAATGTGTGATGAAAAAAATGTCTGTTTGGGCCAAGCGGAGCAGCCATCATTTTTTATTTGATTTAAGCCACAGATCTTCAATTTCACAAGGGACACAGACTTTGGCTATTCTGGATGAAATGTATTTCAGATGGTGCAGTTGATTTACAAAAATAAAAAAATAAGTTGTCTGAGATGCTGCTTCTTAGCATCCCATTAACTATCTCATAGCAAATGCATGTCAGGCTAAAGAATCTCTGAAAAAAATATGGTAGAAAATGCAAATAAGGCCCAGATTGTGAGTCTTAGATTATGTGGAGTATTCTCATCACAGAATTTCATCAAATATCACTGTACTAATTTTTCTGACATCAAAATTTCTAAATGTTATCTGGTCATCTCTGTGGACCCATTCAATTAGAATTTCTCTTAAAAGTACAGTAAATAGCAGAAGTAACCACACAATTATTTATATTTTATATAAAAATGTTAGAACATTAAAATGTGCTAAAGATCATACTTAGAAAAAAAATACATTTAGAATTAAATCTTGTGAATTGTTTTTAAAAAACCAACTAAAACTGCAAATTCTTAATATAGTGATGAAATAGTAAAAATTGCAATACAAATGTAGAGTTTTAAAAAAATCAATCTATTGGATAATATTTGACTTGAAGGCAATAATATTCTAGGATGAATTTCCTTTCTGTTTAGTAATGTGCATGATTCTTTCCTGATGGCATCTGTTCTGAATCATTTTATTTTCCCATTGCTTTTACAATCAGGTCAAGGTTAATCTTTTATTCCATGTTTGCTTTCTAGGCATTAGTCATGAAACTGCTGATGAAAAAGTGATTTTTGGCATTGAATTTAATTCAACCTTTCTGGAATGTATACCTAAATCCCAACAAGCATCTATTAAGTGGTATATCCAGCGGACAGGAGATGAACAACGAGAGGAGGTGAGTTATCATCATCAGAGAATGCTAACCTTCAGGGAAATAGTATAAAGTTTAAATTGAGTTTCGGCTATGAGATATATTCAACTTTTAGTGCCATATGATACTCTAATCGCTATTTGATAAAGGGGAAAATAACAGTTTGTGCTAACACCAAAGGGTGACAATAGCTTTGAGAATCAGTCAATTTAATGCATTATTAAATTGGACAATTTAATACAAATACACTAGTCAAATATATTTAACAGTAGAGTGAAGTTTTAAAATTAATTTATATTAATTTTAAAAATTGTTATTTCATAAAGATTTGACTACTCCATGAATAAGGCAATCTTTTTTCTCTCTGTAGTAGCATATTAAATTTTAACTCACATTGTATTCAATTTTGATTACAAAATGAATTTTATGTCAAATTTGTATGAAAATACAAATATCTATTTTTATCATATGATAAAATTTATTGGATAAGTATTTGGACATATACTTTTTCACTTTTATGTATTAAAATTAAATCAACAGAGGGAAATGTAATATGGCTACTCTAATTTTTGCCATTCTTTCTGCTAATTTTCCTAACATATAAATGTGATTGAAATATTTCATGGGGATTTTGTAACATAGATAGGTTTTGTGTATTATGGAACTTAATGTTATTACTTTGGGTAACTTAGGAAATCATGAACTGATGTTATTTTATTGACATATAACAATGGTTAATTGGCAGAATTCTTTGTCATTGTTGATTATTACTACAGTGGCAGAAAGAAAGCAGTGATGCTCAGACCAGAATTCTAAAACTCTCAATATTAAACTGAGGCTGCTGTAATGAATAATATATTGAATGCAGGATTCTGGATAGATGTCTTGATTTGCAACATGGACCTGATGTATTGATATAATTGAGCCTCTGAGGCCAGAATTTTCCTAATGGAACAAAATAACTTTAAAAATTACTGTGAAAAGCAAACAAGATAACACAACAAAGTAGAATTTCAAAGCAGAGTTCTTATAAGTATATAATAATATCACATATACTATCTATCAATAACAATAGGTGGGATAAGAAATAATACTGATCACATGCTTAGATAATTATGACCCTCCCATTGGTTTGACTGCCTAGGATTTCTGAGCAGGCTGTCACTTTCTCAACCTCTTTATTAAATTTACTAACATTAAGAATTGTAAATTTAAGTAATCAAACATTAGTAGAGGACAGTAGATCTCAATCTCAGGCAATTTTGCTCTGAGAAGACTGATGTTTGGCAGTTTCCTGGGACATTTTTGGTCATTGAAACTAAGTGGGTGGGTGGTAAGTGGGTGTTTCTGGTATGTAGTCTGTAGAGGTCAGAGGTAATACACAGAATTTCAATGCACAATTACCCGCAAGAAAGAATTATCCGACATCAAATGTCAATACTGCTGAGATTGAAAAACTTTGGAGTAGCAGGGTCAAATTTTGTAATAAGAAATTGATTTAATGATATAATTCTTCTGTTACATGAAAAAAAGTATCTTTACCTAAAATCTACAAGGATAATTTTTCTATCAAAATGTTGATTCTATGTACTTAATACCATACCAAGGGAATAACTCCATTCTTTATTATGTCACAGTTATCCAATAAAACTCGATTGTTCATCATTACTGACATTCATAAATTATAAGATTATGCAGAACCATATTTACACTAAACATGTATCTTAAAAATTCTCATTTTTACCAATATATATTGGAACATTATCTGATATAGAATTTAATTATTTAATTTCAAAATAGAAGGTTTTTACTTTTTATCCAAGAAATATTGGAAGAATGTTATCTGTATTTTTAACATGCAGATTGCTTGTAGTTACATTGAAATATCTTAATCTTAAGTTTAATAAGCTAGTAATTTTAATTTTATAGTTCATAAATTTGATGATTTCCTTTTGGTTAAGAATAACTATTCAATCAGTGATTTTTTTTCCTCCATAGCAAATGTAATCTGTTGTGTATAAATGCAGATAACTACATTTGTCTGTGGTTGTTTGCATTCACATCTTTCATTTTCCTGAAAATGCTATGCATTACTTTAATGTACCTTTTAACAGTATATCATATAGTCATGATGGTACCATGCTCCATGAATTTCAATGGAGCAGAAATAGAGTATTTATTGAATGTTACTTAAAAGTATCTTAGCTGTAATGTTTGGACTGTTTTTGTCTGTCTTTTAAATGGCCAGTTTCACATAGTCCAGGATATGCAATTCTGCTTCCTGAGCTAGGAAAAGGACAACATCCAGACTGCATGAAGCACTTTTCCCAGCAGGATACCTTCTGTTCCTTACCCATAAGGCCACAGTTTGGAATCTTTCCTCCACTCAAAAAAGCCTGAGGGACAGACCATGATCTCCTGTGGCACAGAGGCTGTCACCAGGTTATTCTCTGCCAGGAGGAGAACATTTCCTTACTGAGTTGTGTCACAGTTGGGTGCTGTTGGGGAGGTCATGAGTCAGTTATCTGCTGACTTTCTTATAAAGCTGTTCTTGAAATTGATGATGTTTATGCTATAACTATGCAAGTTAATAGGCAGTCCCCAAGCTTCTGTTGAACTTTTGGGATGTTAATGAATAAAGAGGCAATACTTCATGCCATTTACCATACTGCATTTTCTCTGTGGATTTTCCCATTTTTCAAACATCTTCAAATATTTTCATTTCTCTGTTCCCAAGTCTTTATTTTATTTTTGTTCTTTTTATCATAAAAGCAATGTAAATGGCTTTAAAATTGCATAACACATGAAGAACTAGGATGCCACTAAGTGTAGATAAGCAGAGTAATATTTTAGTGTCTGTTTCACTACAGTGTTCATCATTGTGCTGGAAGCATTTTCCATTATCACTCTGACCCATAGTCATAAGTAACCAAACTTTTAAAAAATACTTCATGTTTTCTCTAAGAAAAAAAAAAATGAGCTTCCCTTCTGTTCAAAATTTTTCTTGTACTTTTCTATTTTCTTAGGGCACATTCTTAGGAGGAAAAGAAATCAGTTAAAGACATTGATTATCTTTATGTTTTTTGATAACCACATTTTGATAATTTCCCATTGAAATCACCATATTAGTGCATACTCTGAACTGAAGCAACATTGTGTTCCAATTTAAGAAAATTTTTACCAGTTTGATATAAAGAAACATATTATGTACTATCTATTAGTGTATATGAACATACCATTGTTTCTTAGCTGTTGGTTTGAGTGGCATTTGGTGAATTTCTTTGCCTATCATTTGCTTAGTTTTTATTGATAGATAATTTCAAAATGCTTTCATCAAGTCTTTTATATATTATAGATATTAATAATAATGATGCACATATTATAAATAATTTTATTTTGATATAATCTTTATGTTTTATGTCCCTAACAATTCCTGACTTTTCTATAAAATTCTTTATCTGTTATAGGCAAATCTAATAATTTAGTAGCTGTATAATGTCTCAGTCATTACTCTTTGAGACCCTTGTCACATGACAAGCATATATATATATATATATTTTTTTCCTAGTTATTTACTATTTTATTTCTATATCTATACTTCATATTTTATTATATTAAATTATAATTAATTATTCATTTAGTATAAGCATACTCTGAGACTTAAAATATGTATGCATATTATTCCATTTTAGTTCCTTTTCCTTTTCCCATATGAAATTAGAAACGTTTCATTGCTTTATTTCAAATAGAGATAAATTTTTGCAACATTTTAATAAACATTTGTTTCTTCACACCAGGATCCTTCTCCTTTATTTAATCCTAACATGTCTCTAGTAATATTTTCTGCATTTTAGAGAAAGGAAGTATTCTTGAGGCTCTAGTCTCCTCCAAGACATGTGCAATGGTTTAAGTATGAAAGAACTGACAGGTGAATTATCTGTAAAGGAATTACCATTAGGCACTATTATCAGAGATAAAGGCCCTGACCTTTGTCTGCTGCTTAGTACCTAAATGTCCTTTGTCCTTTTCCTGTTTCTCTTCTTTCATTAAATGAATTGCCCTTCACTGAAGATCTACATTTAATAATGCCAAATATATAATCCTTGTTCTCATAAGGCAAATGGGTAGTCAATCCCAGTTCAAGCATGGTTTTGATTTGTAAGGTAGAACAGTTTCTGCATATCACTTCTAGAGTGAAGAGAATTCCATGAGCTTAAATCAGTGACCAAAGATTACATTATCTCTGTAGAGGAGCTGCATTTCTAAACCAACTGTGCTGACATTTCACTGTGGAGATGCAGGCTGCATAATGCATCCTATTCCAGCACAGAATGAAAGCTTCACAGAAAGCAAGAATGTAAAGTAGGCAAATGTTAATCAATTTCCTAACTCTGGTCACAGTTTTTGCCTCTAAAATGTGAAAATCCTGGAAAAGATATCACTTCAAAATGTTTTATTAAAAATGCCATTTCATTAAAGCCATATTTTTGAAATTTTTAGAAAGGAAACAAAAATTGATTAAATGATCTAATAGGCAGCAGGTAAATATATAAAATTCAAAATCTGCTAAGGCAAGTTTTCCATCTACAGATCAAAAAACAAAGAACAACTTAAGCATTCCATGGATGAAAGAAAATGTGAAGGATCATGACCAAGTAAAGAAAAGCCAGGTGTTTATGAAATTTTGAGTCCTGTGGGGAACAAAGTTAGAGTGGAAAGGAGGAAAGGGAACTAGATCTTATGATAAAACAACATAAACAGGATACAAAAAGAGAATAGCAGAAGTAATGATGAAGTGTTGCACAATATGTGTGAAGTCAAAATCATAATTTCTTCCTGTCAGAGGATTAAAGAGAACAATAAATGAGTACTGAGTCAAAGCTGTGACAATCTCCAAAAGCCACATTAAATGCAGTTTAAATATTAGCGAGAATACAGGTTGTACAAAGGTAATCTAACAATGAACTGGAACTGAAGTCACCCACTTTGTCATGTTAATAGCCTTAGTCCGTTTTCTATTAAGGGAATTACAGAAATAAAAGCTTCAGAATATTATCTCTCAAACAACATGGCAGTAGTCTATAATGTTGCTAATAATACTTCACACTTTAACCTTCAAAGAGCTTTGCTTTTAATCCCCTAAATACACCATATGCTACACACCAATTTGATAGATGGGAGACCAATAGGGAAGATAAGTGAATCATCATAGGAAGCAGAGCCAGTGGAGACCAGAATTCAATGTATAGAGCCAGTATTTTGAGATTTAAGGTTTATTTAAATTTTTAAAAATAATTCTTACAATGAAATTACTTAAATAGAACAAGTGTATGTAGTGTGTTCAATTGCATTTCTCTTTGTTATTGGCCCTTTAGAGCCTTACAAATACAAATTCACATCTATTTTAGGCAGGGATTCCTATGGTGTAGGAAAATGTAAATGGATTCAGTAGTTTGTATTACTGTAGCATTTAAAAATGTCTGGGCCTTCACAATAAATCCATTAGGAAAAGAAAACTATATATCCAACACACTAATTGCACAAAATAAGGGAAACAAACAGACAAAACCTTGATGGTGTGGTTTCAGTGCAAAGTAAAGACAGGCTGGAGACCATTCAGCCTCATTAACCAGGGATCTGAGCTGTGACCTGCCTTTGGCCTCCAATGGTACCCCGCCAGCTGCACTCCACTGGCACAGAGGGTGGTTTGCCATATACTTGTTAGTTAACTGGGCTAGTAGCCAGAGATGTTTCTTTTCCTTTTCTCATATTTCCAGAATTAGAGGGATTTTTCCCTACATATTTTTCACATAAAGATGCAAAGTATAGTCCACCCACTGTGAATAAATTTAATTTAACAATCTTTATGCTTCCTTGATTTTCATCAAGTAAAAGTCTACAATACAGGGGCAGATGTGTAAACTGGGAAATATTCCAGGTTTCTTTGTTGTTCTTCTTCCACTTCATGCCTAGCCATTCAACAATACGCCAAATTGAACAGGGAACTTGTGCTGGTAAACATGCCTCTACTTTTACTGAAGATAGTTCACTATTCACACCAGTCTGTGGGCCAGGCAAGCTTCGTGTTTGAATTGTCTTTCAGCAAAACTGCTACAAAGGATGAAGGGCATCACATTTCAGGGGAGGTTCTTTTTGTTCATGGTGCTTTCTCACACTTGAAATCACATTACCATGTTAGTGAATACCGAGGTAGGGCACATATTTCTACAAATAACATAGTCTAAAGTGTCACATATCTACACAGTATCAAAATTTAGTCCATAGTAAAAAGGGACATTCGGCTTTGAATGTTGCTAACTTTCTAATGTTGCCTGCTCACTTACAGCTCCGACATCCAAAAGCTGCATGCAAGCCTTTATACTTGACTTTTAACAGGTCACCACTTACAGCTTTCATATGCTATTCAGGTCATTTATTTGGTGATATCCAGAAAACAGAGTAAATTTCTTTTGGAGTGTTTGTTCTCTTCTACATTATAGGTAGAAGAATGCACTAAAGTTTCTTTGTATTGTATAAAATGATTGTTAATGTCACATTCTTCCTCTGAAATTGGCATGACAATTTTTTATCTTAGTACACCAATTGTTATCTGAAATCTCTGCAAAGGTCAGTTTTACTTCAGTGCTTTTTGAACTTCTTCATTCCCATCTGTGTATTGAGAGGAAAACTCACTGGGTTCCAAAGGTTCAGTTAGACTGTGTAAGATACCAACGTAAAAAATTCAGGATATGGTTTGGAGGCTACTTTGTTTGCATTTTTTTCACCCTCTTCAGCTCTGGCTGATGATGTTATGCTTGATGACAGAGACACGGGGAATATAATTTTTAGATTCATCCAAGTAAAACTATGTAGCCTGTTTTCATTTGCTCATAGCCCTCTCTGTTTTTAATTTATTACCTGCATTTTTCCAATTCTGTAGTTGAAACCCGATGAAAGGATCATCAAAACGGAATATGGGCTACTGATTCGAAGTTTGCAAAAGAAGGACTCTGGGATGTATTACTGCAAAGCGCAAGAGCACACTTTCATCCACACCATCGTGAAACTGACTCTGAATGTCATTGAGAATGAACAGATGGAAAATACCCAGAGGGCAGAGCATGAGGAGGGGCAGGTCAAGGATCTATTGGCTGAGTCACGGTTGAGATACAAAGACTACATCCAAATCCTTAGCAGCCCGAACTTCAGCCTGGACCAGTACTGCGAACAGATGTGGCACAGGGAGAAGCGGAGGCAGCGAAACAAGGGAGGCCCAAAGTGGAAGCACATGCAGGAAATGAAGAAGAAACGAAATCGGAGGCATCATCGAGAACTGGATGATTCTTAGAGCTGTGGCTACGTAGTTTTCTAATTTTTCTTAATTTAAAAAAGAATTGTTTACCTGCAAAAACACTGTCTTCTGTTTTGTACATCCTTCCTACTAACTCATAAATGCTTTCTATGGAGTTTTGACAAGACACAAGAACAAGCAATCTGTATTCAATAAGACTATATGTGGTGAATATGGAATAATATAAGGGCAAATCATTCATCTGAACCAGTTTTCCAAGAACTAAGCTTGTATCTGCAAAGTGCAAGAAGTATCCCGAAAATAGGAGTTTTACATTTGCAAATGTTTTATTTTGAATTTTTGAATCCATTATGTCTTGTAAATAATTGAGCTAAGCATGCATCAAATTCGATATTGTATTGAGGTGCTGTATTTCCTTGCATGTCCATTAAGCATGGAGTTTGCCATACAGTTGTGCTATGTTCTTATGAAAAGATAAATCATTCCACTGCTAGAACTGGTTATCTTGTGGAGGGAACTGAAAGGAAAGGCACAAATTAAAACAGCTCACATTATTAACAGAAACTTTCCCAGTGAGCCATTCGCTCTTGCAGTGTGGTGTGGGAATTTGGAGAGGTGCACTATTTCTTTCAGGCCACAAGGGTTGCATTTAGTGCACTACAACGTTGATTTACTGAGGGGCATTAATACACTTCCCAGGATTCCTTATGATTTGTAAGGAGAAATAAGTTCACAGACAGAAATTGGTTCTTAGTTGTGTATTTCTAGAATATATGCTAAGCTCTACAGGGATAGGATGCTTAATACATATTTTAATAAGATATGGGGAATATTTTAATAAAATAAGGGAAACATCATGATGTATACTACACCATACTGGGAAGACATGCAGATGGGATTTGTTAGGAGACAGAAGGAAAGATAGCCATAAATCCTGGCTTTGGGGAAAAACTCATATCCTCACAAAAAGGAAGAATAATCACAAAGTGGACAAAATGCAACAGAGCTCCTTTCACTGGGAGCATAAATAGGTGCCAATTTGTAATTTATCTGTTAAAAAAGTCTGGATTATAACAAACTTCTAGCAAAAGTCTGAGGAAAAGTCAAATTTCTAAAGGATCATGGGAAGGATGAACATATTTTATTTATAACCAATGGTATTTCTGTATGTATTTCTTCTCTTTTTTCAAAGTATTTATCATACTCTGTATATTATATTCATACACTTTCTTTATTCTCTCCTGAATATTGGATTATTGGATTATATTTGAGTGACTAGCAAAGAACAATATATAATACATTAAGAGAGAATTAAGTAAAAGACCATGGTGGGAGTAGGGATATGTATTTGCTAAATAACAAAATTTTGACAACGGAAAGGGTTAAATTAACTCTTTGACACATCTTTTTTCGCACAACCTTCTTGAATTTCTAGGTGATATGTTGTAATTCAAGTAGCATTGTTTTAGTAATTTAACAATAAATAAGCCTACCACATGTAAAGAAAATAAACTCACAGCATTAACATAAACACCTTTCATATTTTGTTATCCTGTTCAAGTGTTTCTAATTTGACTTTCCCTCTGAATACGTATGGTGGTTTTCCTGTCTGTTTGGGCAGGACTCACCTTTCCTTCTTACAACACACAACCCTTAGCCTTCTTCTGTTTTGCCTTTTCACGCCCTTTATAGTGTGAAATGAAAAATTAGTCACTTCCTCACATGGAAGGCAGCTTTTCAGAAACCTAAATAACAGACGTTGCTCGTTTCTCATGCATTCTACATGTCTTGAAAGAAAAGTCTGTGAGAACTAGAGTGATGAGAGGGCCACTTGTTTCCGAGCCTGTGACTGTCTCTGTGTTCAGAACATTATCTGTGTCTTGCGTTTTTTTTTTTTTTTTTTTATGTGCATTGCTTACCTATCTCAAAGTAGTCACACTGATACATGATGTTGAGTGCCCTCTTTTGATATTATATTCATGAATATTTGTAAATGTTGCTATAAGAAAAAAATTAAGGAACAGTTTTAATAGAAGTGAACCAGAATGAATTATTCTGAAAAAGTAATCCATAAAAATAGCTGTGGCAGGGTTAGACTGCTAACTGAATATCATACGTGAATGTTTGTAACTATCAATTTTCTGGGATAAGAATGTCCCAGGAACTCATAGCAGGCTCAAAGTAAGTGAGAACATGCTTTATTTTTAAGATTTCAATATTTGTGCATCAGAAAATAATATGCAAATATGGAAGATTCTGGAAAAATTATCTGAAGCTCAAATGTAACTAGTTAGGATTGACTTGTAAAAATAGATTTTATTTTCATTCAAATATGAATGTCCAAGTAGTTTTTAAGTCTTTCTTAGTGATCAGATAACATTTTAGAAAGCTATTTTATGCTTTCTATCTATAATTCTGACTGCCTTGGATACAGAATTATTAATTCATGATGATTGCATAAAATATATTTGAAACATTATTAGAAAATAAAATTTTATAAACAAAACATGGGAACAAAGATTTATGTGTATTTTTAAACACAGGCTATTGAAAGGACATTTAATTTTTGAACCTCTTAATCATAAATCCAAATCACTTAGAGAAACAGTGTAAATATATTAACTTTACAAACACAGTGTGTACCTCTTTACCACTCAAGATTTTACCAAATTTGGTTTGAAATAATAAAAAAGAAAATTATTGTTAATAGTTTCAAATTTTCTAAGAAATCAGCTCTCTCTGGACAGAATCTTAAAATGGCTACTTATGCTTGATTTCATATTTTTCTCCCTTACCTTCAATACACATGTCTTTGAATTCCTTCTGTTTTTTTTTTTTTTTTTGCCTGCACTTTATTCTAACTATTTATACTGCTAAGTGGAATACTGCCTGTCTGCATTCATTTACAATTTATTGGGAATTTTCAGAATTTGTTTAGAAATCATAACACTATATTCATATAACTGTATGAACATTTCAAAACTAACCAAATTCAAACTAACCAAATTACTTAAGAAAAGCAAAGAGTCATAGAAAAAAATTTACTAATTTGCAAAAGCCACAACTGTAGTAGAAGTGTAATTCACAATTTTATCATTTTGTTGTTTAAAATAATGCTCATTAACAATATTCTGGCTACAAAATGGTCTTACTTTAAAATTTTCTTTGGTTTTATTTTTGGCTCTTCTTATACATTTTTTTATTCCTGCTGACTCAACTAAAATATAAATTAAGAGTCAGGGTCTGTTTTTTTCAAATTATCAAAAATGAATTTTTAAGAACAACTTGGTGTCATTCAGATTTCTATCAAATAATAAAAATTAAACAAGATCATTTATTAAACACTAATTTTCTTTTGCTGAAACATGAGATATATTTTATATCTATCATTAAGACAAATGGAATCAAAGCTGAAATACCCTCTTAGAATGTCACCTTTGTCTTAAATAATAAGATTTAATTAATTCACCTTATTGGGAATAGATAGTTTAAAGAAAAAAAATAAGTGAAATGTTTTTATAAAAAGGTATATTTTTCTCAGAGTAAATGATAAAAATACTTAAGTAATTCAGCTTACATGTGAGGTTAAAAGAAATAAAAATCTATAATTTCCAGTTTCTATACATTAAAAGTGCACATGACTTATACCTCTCATTTAAGCATTTGTAGTATACAGTATTTATAAAAAGTTTGAGATAATTTTTTTTTTAAGAAAGGGCAAATATATGTCAAAGGCCATAGTTAATCATGTAATTTAATCCTGGTTTTGTGAGTGTTTAGCAATCAATTTTGAACTTATTATTTTGCTATTTTAAAAGAAATGTAGTCTTGTACTATAAAATAATTGAAAATTGTTAAGTGTATATTTTGGTTGTATTATAATAAAACAAACATTAGTGTTTTATGATCATAAACAGTATTGGTTTGTGTGCAAATTTGTTTTTTTTAAACTGAAAATATGTCAAATAAATTTTATGCATAGCATTGAAGGAAAAAATATATCAAGGAAAATAAGTCCTGAAAAATTTAAATAGATATTTTTGCACTGTAAATACGCAATGATTTATTTTATGAAAGAAAAGAATAAGCATCTCTCCCACTTTGATACAATTACATGGGTAAGCTTTATTGTGAATAATTAAATTTTGGTTTACTGTGATGAACATTATCACCACAGGTCACCACTTCTTTTAAGGTTTCCAATTTTTATCCAATAAGTGAAATTTTAAAATACTCATCTATTATCTGCTTTTAGGGTATATATTTTGTTTATATTTTTGCTTAACAAAAACATTTCTTGAATTACTTTCAGAGAAAATTATATGTCCAACTTGTTATACACACAAATGACACTTGATATCTACAAATAGATATATTATAATGTTCCCACAAATGTGGTACTTAAAGAGCATATAGACACTACTAAGAAACATCCAGTTTTCTAATTAATCAGACAAACTTCAAACATGACTTTAGAGTAATGTAGTCTTTAAAAGTACAAATAATTTTATAAAAGTTACTTGATTTAATCTGTTTGGTCTATTATACTAAAATATCATAAACTGAGTAGCTGGTAAACAACACAAATTTATTTTTTATAGATCTGAAGTCAGAAAAGTCCTTTATAAGGGTACTGATCCCATTCATCAGGGCTTTTGTCCTCATGCCTAATTAGCTCACAGAAGGCCCCCTCTTCCTAATACCCTAAATTTGGGCATTAGAATATCAATACATGAATGGGAATGGGAAGCAAGACATTTAGATGATAGCAGCATACTTAAGTCTCAGATCAGGTTTAAACTATAATTGTAAGTAAAATATAGACAAGTTTGATAATTGAGAAAACTCGAATTATATTTGTTTGAAAACAGAAAGAGACAAGTTAATCTCAAGATAGAACAGTGGAGAACGTGACTTTTAAATTGAGATTGAAAAGCAGCTTTTACTTGCTGCCTGCACTACATGGCTTTATTAATAAAGAAAATCCTTGCCCAGAAAAAGGAAGTCGCAAATAAAGTACCCCTGTCAACTATCTCAGAAGTTCATATACTTCTACTTTGCATATACATTGTTACAAAAAACACATTTCAGA